TCTCAGGGTCTTTCATTCAGGAAAGGAACTCACGATCTGTACAGCGCGTCTCATGATCGCTCAATAAAGGTGTGGAATGTGGACGAGAACGCTTATGTGGAAACTCTGTGAGTAACTGGTCAGGCAATGATTCCGCCGTGAAATACACATTGTGAATGTGCGACCTTAATTAACATTGTGCCTTACTGTAGATTCGGACATCAGGACGCCATCACAGGGCTGGACAGCCTGAGCCGAGAGCGCTGTGTGACCGCAGGAGGGAGGGACCGCTCAGTGAGGGTGTGGAAAATAGCTGAAGAGTCTCAGCTGGTGTTTCACGGACACGAGTGAGTCTCTTGCTGTATCTCACCTGTTGTTTCTGTGACGATGTTTGAACCATTGAGGTCAGATGTTTCCAGATGTTGGCTTCTGTTTTCTGACCCACTTTAAAGACTGTGACGCAAAGTAACGGATGCATAGACACTTTGACAATGCTCAAGTATGGAAGCATACGTTTAAATACTTTAAAGTCTAAAAGCAATCCAAAAATATTGATCCAATATGAAGTTTAGAAAATGATTGTTGCTGCAGGTTTGTATGTTTTACGCTTAAAGATTATATAAGGCGTTTTTTTTTAAAGATAGAAACTAGTCTTAACAGTAATTAGGATTCATTTTATTTTAGGCCTCTTTCATCCTGACACCCCGAGAATTTTGTAGAGAGGCACTGGCAGATGTTTTAGTTCTTAAAATCCTGAAATTGCTAAAGAATTCTGTTTATGTTAAGTGATTCACAAACCAACGACTCGAGCGCTGACTCCACATCCTCACTCTCTTCCGTTTTTGAATATCAGCTACTTTTGTATTAAAATGCCTTCTTTAAAAGTTGGAGCCAAACCCCCCCCCCCCCCCCCCCCCCACCTTGTTATCCTCTGCCAACACATTTGCTGACTTCCACTGCACATCAACTTCAAAATGAAAAAGTAAGCGCTGACCCAGTGGCCTCCTTGTTTACGTGTTTATCGTGCGACAGCTTGAAGAGTGAAGTCTTTGTTATTGTTTTTTTGCACGTGGACGTTAAAGGCTTTGACAGGGTCGTCTAATATCAGACACTTTTAAAATCCAATGTGAACAGCCAAACGAAATAAAAACATGAGTGAAGCTCTTAAGCTTACAGCGTTAAGAATATCTCAGAGTATTGTATAAGCATCTTGATAGCTCCAGACATCAAGTAATAGTCAATAAACCAATCACATATCAGGTCAAAACAAATAGTCACTACTGTGTGCAGCAGATTAGAAACAAACCAACTGATGAACAATTCAAGGAACTGATATCAATCCAGCAAATTTCTGTTTTACTGTAACTGGTATCAAGTGTGACTGACAGTTTTGGTTGTCCCTAGCAACAGGGGGCACAGTGTACAGTATAACATACATCAATGTGAGATTAAAGAGTAAAATATCATTTTCTGTTATTGAGCTAGTTCATGTTGGCATCATTTCTTACTTTGCGACTGTTCTGTCTTTGTACAGGGGTTCAATTGATTGTATCCAGCTCATAAATGAAGAGCATATGATCACCGGAGCTGATGATGGGTGAGACATTTACAGCTTTTACGCTCGTTTATTTTTTTCCAGTCTTCTTCTAACTCTTTTAACATATCCTTTTATTTATCTCTTTTTTTTTTTTTTGTGTGCCCTCCCTCAATGATCTAAATGGCATCAGCTCTGTGTCTCTTTGGAGTGTCAACAAGAAGAAGCCTCTCAGCACAGTGAAGCAGGCTCATGGTTGCCATGGTGATGCAGGGCTTGAACAGCCTCACTGGGTCGCTTCGGTTGCGGCGCTTCAGAACTCGGATACCGTAGCCTCAGGTGCCTCCGGCTGTGAGAGTCCTTCTCCTTACCAGCTTTCTAACCACACACAAACACACTCTTCATGATATATAGGGCACACTGAGTTAAAGACTTCACAGTTTTATTTTATTAATGAACGTTTTATTGACATGGTTGATAGATTTAGTCCTCATTAGGTATCCTATGCACTCATAATTAGAGACGTTGTAGCAGTTATTTTAGCTAAGCGCTTCTTTTTTTTACTGCTTTATTTGGTTGTTAAAGTTTGGTTGTTTTCTTCTGTGCAGGTTCACACAACTCTCAGGTGCAGCTGTGGAAGTGTGGTCAGAATTACAGAGGACTGGAGCCTTTATTCAGCATACCTGTGGTGAGCTCTTACTCCCTCTCCCCTCCCTGTTTAAAAAGTCACTTTGACACAAGAGGGTTTTTTTTTGTTTGTTGTAACTAATTATACACATTATTTTGCAACTAAAATAAATGGCTGTCCTGAAATGTCTCATTGCATCTCTTCCTCTCGCTTTCTCTCCCAGCCTGGCTTCATCAACAGTCTGAAGTTTTCCAGCTCCGGTCAGTTCTTGGTGGCAGGAGTTGGACAGGAGCACAGGTAACTGAACTAATGATCATGTTTCCATAGAAACTGCCTGTACGCATCTGATCAATTCCTAAATGTCAGTGCAGGTTCATGTTCAGTGAATAAATTGTCCACTAGATGGCGGTGTTCTCATTTGTTCTGCGTTCTCTCAGACGACATGATAACAAAGACATTCAACAACAGATTTATTGACCTTGTAAGATTTACATTTTTAGGGTTTTTGAAGTTTATTTTTAACTGTTGGTAAATATATTTTTTGAATAACAGAACTGTACGTATACTGGCGTACTGTTGATAAATGAAAGTCAACAAAATACAAGAAGACAAGTTTAAATTTCAGAGGTTGTTGCTGCTGTGGTTCGGCAGTACATGTTGAAGACTTCTGGATGTCTCATTTAAAATGGCCAAAGCATGGATAAACCAAACCAGTAAACTTTGGAAGAAAATGGCAAAAAAAAACAACACAATTTTTATGATCATATTCAATTATTTGTACTGGAATAATGATCCGAAGTGAATTTTGTATAACCAAATAGCCTTTTTTTTAACCTTGCATTGGATCAAAATTATAAATCCATTCTTTATGCTACAGATCAAATTATCAGATAATTCAGATAATTATCAAGTGGAATAACTTATTGTCAGTGACCTTTAGGACCTTTTCATATCCACTGTTAACCACATTGGGGCACACAAACGTATAGTAATTTGACCTCAAATGGATTTCGAGGGTTCCCAACTGTGGTTTAAAACAGGTTTTATGACGATGGGATGTTTTTTCTGCTTTCTAAAGTTAATAAAGAAACGGCTGATAAAAATCACAACCGGCAGTCTGATCATAACCTGAAGTTTATTGTGCCTCCAGCCTTTTCCAGAAACTTCTGCAACCAGCATATCAGACAAAACTGTTCAGGCTTTTGAACTTCATAGTCCAAAACCACTTCTTTTTAGCAGATCAGAGCTTGAAGTTTACTATCCACTAAAGACATTTTACATTCAATGCAACGCAGCGTTAATGACTGATTACAAACTGATTCATTCACTGATTTTTCACGAAGAAACAAGAGGCTTTGAGGCACTGATAGAAGAGTTCACAACACATTTAGGATATGAACATTTGAGCTGCAGTTTCTTGGTCCATCAGTGTAAAAAAAAAAAACAACCAATAAGACAGCAAAGGAGAGTGGAGTACAAGCTTTCATCTCATCTCCACTGTGTTTCTGTTTTTGAATTCCATCGGCATGATGTGGACTTTTTGTTTGTTTCTCTGCAGGTTGGGTCGATGGTGGAGAATAAAAGAGGCCAAGAATGGGATATATGTTATTCCTCTGAAAAGAAAACCACCTAATCCAGAGGAAGCCAAGATAAATGAATAGTGGACTGTTAAGTGTTTTTTTTCTTTTGTAAATTAAAGATTTAAAAACTGCGTAATGTGTAATTTTGTATCCTCCTTCGTAAGAAAAGAACGTGCATATTTTCAAATAAAAAAAGTCAGTAATATGTGTATGAAAGAGTTCTGTGAGAGTCTCTCCTGTGAATGGTGTTCTTTAATTGTTGAAGAAACCTCATCAGCTTTAGTGAAACAGGCTGCAGTATGTGCATGTTGGGCTTTGTATGGATTCATAAATAACTGAGGCTGTGTTGAAGGAGTCTACATCCTGTCTGAGCTGACAAAAAGTCAAGAACAGAAGATCCAAACTTTAGTTTCTAATTAGGTAGCTCTCAATTATTTGAGAAATATTGTGAAAGTGTCTCTTTATTGAGTAGATGACATTTTCAAAGCTATTAGGAGCTGCTTAAAAAAAGAATATCCTTTGTATTTCGATTTCCTGCAGAGTCTTTTCAATTTTGCAATATGTCAGGGTGCTGGGGGCCGGGTGGTTGGCACGCTCACCCTGTGTTAGGAAGCTGTGGCCTCTTAAACAGGTAAAAGCCTTGATCAATTTGTTTAAGTTTTGCTGCAGGTTTCATTTTTTCCCTTTAGGTAGGTTTCCTCTGACTGTACTTTAACTTTATTTCATCTCATAAACCTGCTCATGATATGGTCGTAGGAAATGGTAAGTAGGAAAGGAAAACCATCTTGGCCTTTTTTTGACTTGAACTTTTTGTCATGAATGTAACTTTTGTAGGTTTTCTTGGTGTTCATTTAACTGGTAGCAACATATGAGGCAAACCGTGGGCGGGTTGTTTGTGGATTGTTATAATAATTTAATATCAGGAATCTCTGCTCTGTAATGAAGATTAAAAGTGACTTTTCGATGAATTCTTTCTATTGGCACTGTACATAAATGACTGCACATCTCAACCTATAATAGAGAGATAACTAGAGCTTAGACATATGAACACAAAAGACAAGTCTGTGTTGAGAGCAGTCATGAGAGAAGTCTGTAACACAAACTTATCGTCCTCGTGTTGTCCCTTTTTAAGTTGAAAAAGTAAAGAACATTCAAATTTAAGTGCATTCAACTAAAATGACAGACACTTATGCGTCAGTTATTTTTTTTGTGCAAAATCAAACACTTATAGGATCTGAAAAGCTTGATTATAAGAACTGAAGTTATGAACCCAAACACATTGGTATTTAATATTTTAATAATAAAAAACATTTTATTTACATGAATTACAGAAAAGCACACATTGTTATACCGTTACACACATGTCCTTTATATTGTCTAGTTGCCTACTTTTCATCACATTTACTATGATTAGTCACATATTTTAACAGAAGGGCTTAATTTATTTCATAGCATATTTTTTATGTCAATGTCTACAACATTTGGATATAATCACAGCACTGTAAGGACAAGATAAGAACAGCTGTTTGCTTTGTTTAACACTATTTGCTTCACAAGCACCCATTTGACAACAAGACTGTTTAGGACAAGGCACGGTGCATTTAATCACATCTATCTGTAAACCAAGGAGATCACAGCATATTAAATCTATACAAAAAAAGGCTTTACAATTGGTACATACTGCTCGCTGTGGGAACACCGTTTAGCTTTCACAGTTAGAGTTAGCTTTGCTGCTGTCAGTCAGTCTACACACACAGAGTTATCTCTCTGCGCCATGTTGGATGGCAGGAGGGCTCCAGCACAACCAGCTTTGTTTCATGGAGGGATGACTGATGATGGGGTTGGTCTCTTGTGCTTTGAGAGAAAACCTTTTTCACAATGAGGATGTTGTCGAGTCCACCACCTCGCGGCCATTACAAACTGCTGGCACGTAGTTAGAGGCTGATCCTGGGAGAGTAAACACAACAAAGTTAGCCAGGCCAGAACTTTTTCACTGGTGGAAAATACAACTGTATACCAGAGATAATAAAACCCACAGGTCTATGGAGGTGGAAGGTAGCAGACAGGTCTGTGCTTGTTCCTTTCGCAGTTTCATCGGATGTCGGTTAACATCCAAACTATTCTCACCGGAGTTAAATAATTAAGTAACTACACTTATTAAATGAACTGTTGTTTGAGTGCTTCTGTATTATGCTATTGTACACCTATTCCACTAAATACTACACATACATAGAATGTTTTTCGCAGCTCTTTTACTGGAACTCCCTATCAGAAAAATAAACAATCAGCTCACAGAATATTTTTCATTGTAACGGTTGAACTACTCAAAATTTAGAGGGACTAACACTCTAACACGATCAAATGAACACATGAATCAATCTGTAAGAACAACCCAGAAAACTATACTGTAAGCAAAAGAACAAAGACAGTGGCATTTTGTTTGAATAATAATAAACTACCTACCTTCTTTTATTTTGAAATGCAGAACTTTCACTTTATTTCGATATTCCTACAGAGTCATATTTCTACTTCAATAAAAGCTCAGAACTCTCCTTCCACCAGAGCAACACCATCAGAGTCTCATTCATGATACAATCATTTCTGATGTATTTAGTCTTAGTGAAGCATGAAGCAATCATTTACATGAGTGTTTATCCTTAACACTATAGGAAGAGTTGTGTCTTGTATTTTTGTGCTTAACGATTCTGAGAATGTAAGAGTGACACTTATTTGCACTATGCAAACTTTGTTTGTGTTTATTTTTGGAGTTAGTTCTCTGAATTATTTGTCAGTTAATTAAAAAAGCTTAAGATAAGACTTGTCAACATGAAAATAAATTTAATGACTGGATTTTAATTGCTCAGCCTCAAGAACATATATTACTTTTTTCTTTTTTTTTCATTCTGTGGTTTCTCTGCTCATAGTCTGTAGTCCATCCACCAAGTCATTATCTATTCAGCTTATACTATTAAAGGTTGTGGGTGGCTGGAGCAGATCACAGCTGTCATTTAGTGAGAAGCAGGGAACACCCTGGACAGGTGCTTATAGACTTGCTTCACCAAAAAAATGTAAATGTATGTCTTGAAACAAATGCACAGTGTATCATACAGTACGACATTTAAACATTATGAAATGCAGCCAGTCTGCCGTGTATGTCAAGTTGCCACCCTCTTGTTAAATGTAGTATTATAACTTTTATCTGTCCAAATTGTGATAAAAATAAACAGTCAAAAACACATTTGTCTCGGTGCGTTCCTAATAATGACCAGTACTTTATAGAGAAATGAGAATGAGATACAGTGGATGTTTGTACCTTTGGAGTAGCTGGAGCTGGGGGCGGAGGCCGAAGCAGACACTGTGGCACTGAAACGGTTGGCCGTGACTCTGAGTGAGGCCACGTTTTTCTGGGGCTGAAACAGGATGATGTGAATTTTCGGAGCAAAGAGGCAACCGAGTACCACGGAACCACTCAGACTGACTGAGATACACATGGTGGTGGTCTGCACCTGTGAGGGGCAGAGAGAGTGATGAGTATGTCAGCCTGCACTTACATTTCCTCCTTTTTGTCTTCAAAAGGACGAATGAAGTTTGCTCAAAGACCACCTGGCAGGCACACACACACACACACACACACACACACACACACACACACGCGCGCACACACACACACACGCACACACGCGCACACGCACACCTGCAACTTACAGCCTTTGATCAAAACTGTTTTCTCACAGTTTTTATTCTTTTTCTCCTTGAATTAGGCAAAGATCTATGATTGAATGGGATTAATTCCTTCTTTTCACTATCTTGGATTCCAAAACCCTTAAACCAGTCTGTTCTTTCCCTGTTAATAAAGCCTCTCACAAAAATATCTTCCTTTTTATCGTATATATGTCTTTCAACCCCAAAAAACCCCTCGACTCCTCTTTCTCTCATCATGCCTTGCTCTGAATGGGGGGGGGGGGGGGGCTAAATTGTCTCCCTTTCCCTACAATGTTGTGTTCACTCAGTTCTAAAACTTAGTTTTCCTGCATTATTTCCCTGTTATGTCTTTGGCTTCTACTGGCTAATTAATTTTTTCTTGACTGCAAATTTCATTTTCTTGTTTTGAAACCATTTAAATGAGCCAATATTTTAATTTATGATCATTAAACACAAAGGAAATGTTTGTGTTATATTGAACCTAGATGATACAATATCAGGTAGTGTGTTTTAATTGTATTCAGTCACTTTAAAACATACCACATTTCCTTTATTTGCCCTAAGTTGTATCCCAGAGTCATTCAAGAAAACTATCAGAATACCCTAATGTTTAATGAGTAACTATTCCAGGATTTCCATTTCCACTTTGAATTATTTATGCATGTGTGAAGTTTTCATTTATGTATGTTAGCAATTCAAATGGTGTATCTGTATGTGCATGAGAAGGAGTGTGATAAGAAGAAGAATGTGGAATAAGCTCAGCTGGCTCTCCTGTAAAGCTCGAGCTCTGTTAGTCATATTTCAGCTGTTAATGTGAGCTGACTGCTGGGGTCATCTTCCTGAGAACCACCTCTTCCCACCCCAACAGTCACCCCTGCAGTCCAGGAACTTCTATTTGCAGAATCACAGCATGAAGTGAAATCCCTCCTAAACCTATTTCACAACAACAACGTAGCAGAAATATGAGAAGTCCTCACACATCCAAGCTTTGGCCTGAAGTGGTGAAAACATTGCAATGAAAGCTATTAATATTACTTCGACTGTCTTCTATCTGCAGGTACTCATCTATCTCAGGCATGAAGATGTCTTTCTGGCAGCTGTTTAAACCATTCTTTATACAAACAACAACAGAAATAAAAGGGCTTACTTTGTGAGTGATAGCGCACTAAAAATGGGCAGCACAGAACACCAGGTTATTTACTTAATTTAAATCTCCTGTTAAGAGTTTAAATCTGTAATGAAACAGACTGAAATCAATATTGAGGCATCGACATACAAAAGCAAACCAGACCATCACAGAGATTATTTATTATACTATATTGAATTAATTCTAATTTCTGTAACTGCTGTGACGGGGTCAGTGTCCGATGAGGGGATGACCAGTATGCTGCAGATACAGACCAATTAAAGAAGGATGAGTTTTTCATCAATAAACACTACTTACATACTGTTTGTACAAGACATGATCAGTAGAGTTAGGTAATCATCCCGCTTTGTCCACAGTTGGTGCTGTGTAACTCTCTTTATGTTTATTTCACATTTTTTATTGTAATTGATTTTTATTGATCTGTGTAAATATAAATGTGTTACTTTTCATCAAAAAAATAAATGCATTATGTAAAAAGACTTCTAAAATAAATGACACCTTAGACTTGTTGGTTCCATCTGTGCAATCCTGAGTTCTTCATTATTCACTGGGCAACAAGGTCAGCCTCTTATTAGAATATTTCTGTGCTGTCCAACCCTAATTTGAAATGTGGCGATAGAACCCACAGACATTATTATTGGTGTCACACGGAACCAAAGCATCAAGGTCTCTGTTGCAGTGCCAGACCTCTTATTCATTCAATTAGCGCGAGTGCGTCCTCTTCAGCATGAAGCCTCATATTCTGCAATGTTTAGCCGATTTCATACATCCCACTGAGGATCAGGAAAGGTGAAGGTTTTTTGGTTTCATCATTGGGATGCAAGAAATAGTGATCACTACAGACATGAAAAGCCTCAGGTACCTCATGATGATACAAAGCTTGTGTGATCCTGGACCTCCCCCCATCTGTTTGCACAACAAAGGCCTTGTTGAAACCCCAAACCAAACCCTTTGGCAGTACCCTTGAGTGTGCCTAAGGGAACAGCACTCATAATTTACATGGTCTGTCAGCTTTATGCCCCTTTTTTGTCTTATCTGTCTTATTGTAAACTACATAGAGAAGCAAATGCATTTATACTTGCAGCTATACAATTTGACATTGAAAAAAAAAAGTTATGTATTTAAATGTCTGCTCTATTTGGTAATCCATTCCAAAGCATTTATACAACATCTTTTGAGTAATGCAGGGTAAATGCAAAATTTGTGTAAAGGCTAAAGGCTGCAAAACATACCCCCCATGAGACAACTCTGCAGCAGCATACCAGTTCATGTATTACTAGGACTTCTATGGGTGATTTAGCTTTTGAATTGTATAACAAAACCTCTAATTTATCTCAAGAATTTATGTTTCCCTCTCAATGTGTCATTAATCATTTAGTAAAACTATGATTAAATGAATCAGTTTGACTGTTATTAATTATTTGCATCTGTATATTCCAACTTGATCCATCTCTGGCGTCTTTGTTCTCGCCTTGAAAGATCCTTCAACCAACATAAAAGGAAAGCTCGCTCTTTCATGGGTTTGGGTAACACTGATCAAATAGAATCTTAAAGTGACACCTTCTTCTTCAGGAATGCTGAACACACTAGGGATAGTCATTTATAGACTTTGTTTATGTTATTCTTCAACAGGGGGCTTGAACAATTCCTCGAAAAAATCTGTTATCATTATGCAATTTAATGACTTTATAAATAGCATTTTCTTGGTAGTTACCCTGTAGTCGCTTGCAGTGACATAGAAGATGGGCTGGAAAGCGAGCCAGATGATGCAGGTGGTGTACATGGTGAACCCAATGAACTTGGCCTCGTTGAAGTTTTCAGGGCACTTTCGTGTCTTGAAGGCGTAGACAGTGCAGAGGATGATGAGGATGCAGTTGTAGGTGAGGGACATGAGCATACTGGAGTCCTTGCTGTTGCACTTAAGGGTGACTACATCTCTCCTCTCCGGGCTCAACTCTTTCCTCACCCCTGGCACCTCCACCAGCAGCCAAATAACAGCCACGAGCAGCTGGCACGAGATGAGAGCACCGCAGATTGCTACCTGTGAGGCAGGGCTGATGAAGCGTGGCCGTTGGGCTCCATCCTTCACCCCGCTGAAGATTCGAGCGATTCGGTTGGTCTTGGTTAGAAGAGCTGAGTAGCACACTGCAAATGAGGTGCCCAGTCCTAGGCGTCGTAGGGTGCAAACAACAGTGGAAGGTTTGGTGATGTAGATAAAGGTCATCAGGTAGCACATCAGCACTCCCAACAAGAGGATGTAGGAGAGTTCACGTCCGCTAGCTTTTACAACAGGTGTCTCATTGTGCTTGAAGAACAGGCCAATGACTGACAGAGTGCAGATAATACCAAGGCAGGAGATGGTGACGGGTCCAATTGCCCAGGCATCCTCCCATCGGATATATTCTTCAGGCAGATCGTAACATCCAGTCAAGTTTGCCAGGGGCCACTGACCAAAGCTGCAATCGGCGCAGGTAAACTCATCATGCAGGTATTGGTAGGGCTGACAAGGGATACAGATCCAGCAGCAAACATCCCCAGGCTGCATACTCTTGACCTCATTCTTCCTGCAGGGGTCGCTGCACTGGGAGGTGGGTGGTACTTCCCCTCGCCAAGGTACCAGGGAGGTATTCAGAGTTAGGTTCTGGTCCCAGTAGCCGACTTTCTTGTAGATGAACTTCCCGTCTTCTTGGTGGTAATGAAAGATGTTGTAGCGACTGATGCTGTCGCCGAAAGAGTCGAAGCGCACCATGTTTTCTGTGTCTGCTGGTCTGAAGGGAGCTGGTAGGAAGAATAAAAGATCAGGAATGTTTACTTAAGGCTATGAGATTGCCATATAAAAGTGAATATTAAAAATTATTCATTGCTAAACTGACCTTCAAACTTGGTCTTCAAGATGAACTCTTTGTAGAATCTTTTTCCGTTGCCTGGTTTCATTGCATCACAGACCTTGGATGTGTTTGAGCACACAGCTTGCCTCATGTTGTGCAGAGCATAGGCCATGGCATAGACGGCATTAACCACAAACATGATCTTAGACTCCTGCTCAAAAGTTCCATCTCGTAGGCTGTGTTCACTGCAGCCAGGTTCCTGCAGGCTGCAACCAAACCGGTGTTCCCAGAACTCTTTAAACCAGGGGTTCCTCATGTTGGTGTAGGGGTTCAGCTTGGTGAAGTAGTCTTCAAATTCTCGTATTGGGTAGGAAGCTAATTCAATAGTAAAAGCCCGGTCTGCCGCAGCCTCACTCCCTCTCACCACACTCTCCTGTGCTCCCCATCCATCACTGGCTACCCAGGTGAAGCTGACATTCATACGAGTAGCAGCAACCAGCAGCTCACGGGCGTCTTCGCTGCGGGTGAACAGGATCACCACCTTTGCGTTGGACTTCTGCTGCAGAGAACGGATCACATTGTCATAGCTCTGGCGGTTCATGGAGCGGCTCACTTTAGCTGAAGTGGCGATGCAGATTTGGCGAGTGCGGGCTTCCTGCTGGAAGGCATCGATTCCAGTCTCACCATAGTCACCCTCTGACGCTACTGTTGACACGTAGGTCCAGTTGAAGAAGCGCAGGATCTCAGCTATGGCCTTGGCCTGGTAGAAGTCCGGAGGAACAGTGCGGGCAAAGTAGTCATAGCGGGTCTTATCGCTGAGCTTTGAACTGGTTGAAGCATAGCTTATCTGAGGGATCTGGAATAATCGCAGGAGATTGGCCACCTGGAAAAACATAAAGAAAAATATTTAACGAGGAGGGTTTTTATTTAGCCCAGCTGATATATTATAATATACATGATACATCAAGATAATGTTGAAAACTTGCCGGCACTTGGCACTCCTTACATATAGGAGACATGGAGAACATCAGCATTCTTTCTGTGTTGTTTTTTGGGCAACCAAATCCCTCTCCTTTTCCACTGTCTAGGCCTCCACACTCTCATAAAAAAAATAATTAAACCTTAAGCAGGGTGTGCCAGTAGTCCAAAACAGATTCCATAGCAGGCCAGAAAAACAAACCATTAAGCTGAAATACTGTATTAGTACAGCTTAAATGTTAAATTTGATGATAATTGCCTGAGGAGTTGTCAAATTATTGAGATTTTGTCCATGATTGTATTTAAATAATATTGGGGTAGAGTAAAACCGTTGCAATTGTCAATGTTTCAACATTGTCATCGTTAAAATAGCCACTGTAACTGTTCCAAAGATTATGTCATTAAAAATGTTATGAATTTCAAATCCCCTAACTTTTAAGATTCATACTTCTTAGTTTATATATATTCATATTGTCTGTATGTGAAGCCATTAAAGCCTGTGAGGATAATGGTCTGACATTTTGGAAATTGAAATTTTAATGATGAGAGATTTATTTAGCATACAGAGATCTGAGTGAAAAAATATATATATTTTAAACCTAGTTTAAAGTGTGATTGACAACTTCCCTCCCATCAAAATGGTGCATGTGAGGATCAGCGTAGTGCAGCTCTAAACAGTATGTTTGAGTTGTCTTTGACAGAATAAAGGAGGAAGAAGAAATCCTGCTGTCTGAAATATTTCAGTTGGTCAATAAATGGAGTGTTACAAAAGGCTTTGCTATCACTATCATAGTTATCAGACATGTAGCTGAGATGCACCTATTTGTTCTAATAGCTATGCAATGCCAAAAGATGGAAACCTGAGATGATTTAATTCACATAAATCTTGTAACAAATACTCAGGTGTAACCACAACTTAAACTCAATATCAGGAAAGGTTACAAAATGTAGGGGTCAAATTTTGGTTATGGATTAAAACTTATTTCGAATATGTTTCCGTAGCTCATTGTGTACACACTGTAAACACTAAATTACATTGTAAGCGGTATTTTGTAGCTCTTTATCAAAAACAGGCTTTAGAGTGCAGAGCTGCTGTTTCAGCTCTGTGGAGTATACAGGCTGGCATTGACAGCAGCAAATATCTAATGTTCCTCAATTTCAAATGCTGGGATACACACCAGATTTTGTCACAAATGCTTTCACAGTGCCAGATAACCCCAGTAACAGAGATACAGAGAGTTTTATTATTGTGTTTTATCTAAAGGAAAGTTAAAGCCATGCTGCCAAGTCATACAGAATCCCTTGTGCCAGTCATCATGATGCCCAGCTAACCGAGACAAACACACAGATTACCTTGTGGAGATGATAGTTTGTGGTGCTGTGTCCAGCATGGATGATATTGTTTAACTGAAAACTCAGTGAGGCACCCATGCTGGACACAAACCTGCTAAAATGTTTGTGTCAGAGTCATAAAACCACAGCAATTATTTTCCCACACAGCATTACAAAGATAAGTATGACAGAGAGCTGGCAAAACTTTGTCATTTTACAGGATTCCTCGTGAGACACAGTGGTGATTAGTGAATTCCCATGAGCTTCAATATGACTGGCCAACCTCCTCCCTCTGGCATCATTGTATGCCTGCAGGCTTTCCAAACAATAGCACGCCTATGGTTATAATTGGAACCTTCCTTACTCACACTTACTCCTATTAAAACAATGATTCTCTGTTTCAGCACTCTCATTACAATCCACAGAGCTATTGCTCCTTTCTGCTACATTATTTATCTCAGGTAAATACTGTAATTGCAAAACGGCCACAGTTTCTGCATGTGCTGTATGCCATGAACATGTTACTCGAGAATCTATTTTTAGTCAGGCCAGAGGCATGGCTCAAGGGTGACAATGCCAGTATGTCAGTTTGATCCATCACTTTGGTCGAGTTTAAGCTATTGACTAATCAGATCAAATCCCATAACATTGGAATTATAGCTTCACGGCTCCTTAGTGGTGGTCCCTTGACCTTCCATTAATGTTTCGATCAGGTCAGTATCTTTTGACAGAAATGAATTGACCACCTGATAGAGGTGATAGTTGAGCTATGAGAGTCCCCAACTCACTTGGAGCAGCACATCAGTTGTCTTCAGGGTGTCCCTGAAAGCAACATGTTTTTTTTTACTTTGCTTGTTTTTTACTCTTGACAAAAGGTGTTTCAAATATGTTTGAATCTCACCATCAAATAGCCATTTGATACTAAGGAGCTTTTCTTCAAAGCATACAGAGAGACAGAGTTTGAGAAGGATTTCCTTCCTTTAAATTACGTCCACATGACGTGATATTTGTATTTCAAGCATTTTTTTGTAACTTATTGGACTGAGACAAACCGAGGAGACAACTTGCCCATGCAATTGCAATGCAAACATATTCAGTTTTGCCACAGAAATTGGGGACATTAACCCTGATCTACGATCAACTGTGAATTTAACCTCCTCCAGTGAAACAACCCCAAAGACTAACTCAAGCAGGCGTACTCTAAGCTCTTGAGGGGATGAATGGAGTAAATATGATGTATTCAGACAAGTGCACTTCAGACAGCAGTCCTCTCTACTGTAGGATATAGGTCAGAGGTCTCATTATATTAACCCAATGAGAGACCGGATTTTTGTTGTGAACCTATAGGAGAGCTTGAGTAGATCCTTCAGTGTATTGATTCATCCATATTCCCTGGTATATACAGTATTTTGTATGCAGCAGGCTAACATATGAGCTGCCACACAGGCAGTCAGTCACACTTGCATGGTAATAAGGTGATTTCCTCATGCAGGGTTTTCAGACAGGCAGTTGGCCTTCATCAATAGATTCTAGGAGAAGCCTGACAGCGCACCTTTCAGGACGGCACTGGAGTGTGTGACAGTAACCGTCTGTTTGTCCTCATGCGGGTTTCCTTTCACTCTCTCCATCGACCAGTCAGATAAGAACACAACAACAGCAGTGCCTCTGGCGTAAATACATTTTAAATTGCACAAGTTTCCAAAAACTTCCAACTGTGCATTTTGTTTCTTTATTAAATCCCCCCACTGTCGAAGAACTAACCTTTATCACAAAAAACATACATACCTTGAACTGTGGACTTTCACCTAGCCCTTACAGTAAAGAAGCAAAAACATTTAGCTTGTTTGGATTTGACTGCAGTAATTTGAGGCACCAATTAGGACCACTTCATGGTCCACTGGTTTAAAATCCAAAAATGGTCTCCAAATGTAAATGCTCTGTAAATTCCAGGCTCTTCCATATTATTTTAGTTTATATCATTTTCATCTTAAATTTTTGTAACTCATTTATTTTATCCTATCTAAAAGCTTTGATGGCTATGCAAATCACTTGAGTTGCCTTGTTATTGAAAGGTTTTTTTAAATTCTCAGCCTTGCTTATCACCTAAAGAGGAAGACTATCAGTCTTAATTTTTAATTGGGCCATTTCAAGAAAAAAAAAATATCTCAAGAAACTGGACAACTTTTACTCAAAAATGTGTTTTCTCATATTGTTGCTTCCCTCGGATATTAAAACCCTTGATACAAAATTATGTTGTGCAGCGTATTATGTATGCATTACGTGCAGAGTTGGAAATTATAAATCTCCACATTCATCTGCTGAGAAAAGGTTTCTATCTGCTTATATAGATGCTCTTATTCTGAGCATAGTATTGAAAAATATCTTAAAACAAGGTTTGGTCACCTATGACTTTGGTGTAGTACTCTGCTGTGAACCTCGACTGCAGTAGTGAGTAATATGACAGCTATGAAAGATGTAAAACATCTCAAGGTAGATTGAATGAAGTGAGCGCTGAGAATATATGTCTATTCACTCTCATAAATATTAAATTGAATGCTTGGTAGGTTGTGTATAAGATGCACTATGTGGAGCAGTATTGTGGGATTCCATGCCAGTGTTCCTTCAAAAGAGCATTGAGGAAATATATGAGACAGCTGGAACGCAGGCAGCCTCTTACTCATGTGTCTGTCATGGTTTTTTTTTTTCAACATGGAAAGTCCATCTGTGTGTCCCTGAGGTCCCTGTCAAGCTGCGCCCTACAGTAGATACAGTAGATGGCATGCAGAGGAAAACTTAAGGACGTGCAGTTCACCAGCACTTACTCGTGCTAAAGGTCCAGAAATACATTTGATGCATAATGGACAAAATGCACATTGCAGGTAAGTGTTTGAGTTGTGCTGAACGTGACATTTGCTATTAATATCAAAACCTGAAATGCAAAAAATAAAATGTAAGAGGTGAATCATGGTGTTTCAAGGTGTTTCTCAGGAGAGCTGTTTCAATACCATTACCATTATTCCACTGATACAGCCCAAAGTAAGATATCAGGTATCCATCAATGGTTACCATGTATCTGGTGTGGCCAGTGCAGGTAATAATGCGTTACTGTACGCTACAATTTTCATTAACAAGTAGTCTTTCTAGATACTTTTCAAATTCAAACACTGTTAGAATTACAGAACCATTTAAAGCACTCTTGACTCTTTACTTTAGGCTACGTGAAATAGCCAACAACAAAAATTTAAGGTTTATTGACACTCATCCAGTGGGCCAGGTTACGCTAACATCAGCACAATAGTGTCCTATGAGAAAAAATTTCAAGGGCAGTAAACACACACAGGCTGATGATCATTCAGGAGAGCGATTTCTGTCTTAAATATACCAACATTATTTTTCCCCGCTCCAGTTAAATGACAAGGAAGGAAAACTTTACCCACCACCAAGAATAGTCATTTTGATCTCATAAAGCACCGAGCTAAACAACAACCTACCAAACTAGTTGTCAGAGAGCCCGGTGCTGCAAACTCCGGAGACCCTGGTGCAGATCATGTTAGCTTGGCAGACCAAGGAGGA